AATGGACTGAAACTGGGTATTGTTTGGACAGAAAAAATTGGCGTAAAATTTAAATTAATTTTTCCCCGCAAGAATTTGGAAAAAATTCAAATATTTTTTGTCCAAAAAATTAATATAAGATCCGACCCGATCCGACCCACTAGAGCCTGGTTGGACAGACGGCGGCGCGCGAGTGGGGGGTGTGGTTTGAGCCAAGGTTCACTTTGTCCATAACTCCTCGCTTCTACAAACTTGGGGTGCCCCTTGGAGCCCAATCCAAGTGTTTCCACCTAGAGCTTATATATACATACACAAACTCTCTTAAAGTTTCAATGTGGGACAACTCATTTCAAATAAACCCACATTTTACTTCTTGAATAGTCCATTCTAAGAACCCAAAAACGATGTCAAGTTCCCATTCACTCATAAATGATTTTGATGAACCGTCTTCACCGAGTGACTTGCCATGCGGCAAGAAACACGTCATCTCTTTAGACCCACTTCAAAAGACGTGTAGACCCTACTCAATTTTGGGCTCAAAATTGACCCAAAACAAGCCTATAAAACCATTATTTCCAACAGGGGGTATGCGTCATACTTTAAAGGAAAAATTATAAGCTTCATTTTTTTTAGCAAAAAGAAGAGTTGCTCAAAATTTTGTCAAAGATCGTAACAATCATTATCAATTGGATTAGAATGACTCAAATTTTAAAATTAACGACTAAAATCGAGTCGATTAAAAGTACAAGAATTAAAATGACATAAGAAATAAAATGTAAGAATTCCAAATAATTAATTTCATTGTGACACTCTCCTTTTTCCTTTGCAATGAATTTCTCATCGTGACTACAAAAAGTAATCATCCTGTTTTTGTTTTCCACAATATATCAAATTTAGCAGGATTTGATTTATTGATTAATAAATTTGTTTTTATTCTGAAAATTAAAGATATTGGTCGATTTGGGTTAAATAAAGAAATACAAACTTGATTAAATCGGGAACGTTGTGACTTTTTAATAAAAATGAGGAGAATTTACAACAATAAAAAAAAAAATAAAAAAAAAAAAAAACAGAATTTGATCCTTATAATAAAGTAAATTCTGAATCTTTAAGTTTTTCAAGTAAAGGCCTAAACTTTTGATTTGTTATCCATCTGAACCATTTGCCTATTCTTATTAGATAAAATTGATGAAAAAAAAGTATTTTAGTCATTAAAGTCAATGATAATGGATATTTTAGACATTTTATGTATATATTAAGTTTAAGGGTAAATTACATTGACACCCCTTGAGATTTGGTTCAATTACAACCCACCCCCTGATGTTTTGAAAATTACATTCTCACCCCTGTAGTTAATAGTCTCATTTCACAAACCCCCATGCTTATATAAAAAGTAACAACTCCTATTAGAAAAACAGAGGAAATTACATTAAAAAAAAAAAGTAAAAGAAAGGGGGAAAAAAAAAAAAGAAAGTAAAGTAAAACAAAAAAAGAGAGTGCATTAGTTCAATATTTTCATTTTGCCTAAATAATTACAATGACAGGGGGGTTAGTGTAATTTTCCAAGCGTCAGGGGGTGATATGTATTAAATCTAAACCTCAGGGGGTGTAAGGGTAATTTACCCTAAGTTTAATAACTAAAATATTATTTTTTATCGATTTTAATTAACAAAAATTAGGCAAATAATTTAAATTGAAAACAAATCAATATATTAGAGTTTAAATTGATAAAATTAAAAATTTCAGATTTATTTTTTACAATAGTCAAACACTGGGGTTTCTTTATAATTTTTCCTAATTTAAAAATTTATAACAATAAGTCCATAGAATCAGGAAAGAAAATCAAAATTTGACCCATAATTCCACATTTACCTCGCAAATTTAATCATGACGTTTGATTTTCAATTCTAGGTGATTTAAAAATTTATGAGTGGTAAGTTTATGGAATCAAAAAAGAAAATGAGAATGTTTTTATGGCAAATCCATTTTACCCTATGTAATAGGACCTAATAGCATTTTATCTCATTGTCTTTTAAAAATAGTCACATACCTCTCACATACCTCTCATGTGATTTCAAACTAAAATGCTACACTTTATTTTGAAAGTAAGGAAAGAAAAAAAATTAATTAAAGTTAAATTTTAATGCAAGAAGTCAAAATTAGCTTTATTTTACGCTCTCTATTTTTTTTTTTTTAATCTAAATTTTTTATTTAATAACATTTAAATTAAACATGTACATATATATTATATCTATAATTAATACCTTAATTTGATTATTATAAAAACTAATCATCAAACTACTTTAATCTAATTTTTAATTTAATCAGAATTTGACCCATAATTTCTCATTTACCTTGTAAATTTAATCTTGACGTTTGATTTTCAATTCTAGGTGATTTAAAAATTTATAAGTGGTAAGTTTATGCAATAAAAAAAAATGAGAATGTTTTTATGGCAAAATTCATTTTACCCTATGTGATATGACTTAATAGCATTTTCTCTCATTGTCTTTTAAAAATAGTCACGCACCTCCCATGTGATTTCGAACTAAAATGCTACACTTGATTTTGAAGGTAATGAAAGAAAAAATTAATTAAAGTTAAATTTTAATGTAAGAAGTCAAAATTAGTTTTATTTTATTAGCTTTATTTTACCGCTTTTTTTTTTAAATCTAAATTTCCTATTTAATAACATTTTAAATTGAACATATATATATATATATATAAAATTAAATACCTTAATTTGATTATTATAAAAACTAATCATCAAACTACTTTAATCTAATTTTTAATTTTTAGCCCAATTTTTTATTTAATAACATTTTAAATTAAACATTTACATAATACACACATACACACACATATATAACAAATTAAATCATAAAATTACCTTAATCTGATTTTTAATTTTTAACTCACTTTATTATTTAATAACATTTTAGATTAAACATGTATATATATATTTAAAAAATTAAATCATAAATTAATTAAAATTAAAAATTAAATTTATTAAAAAAATATTTAGAAAACTCTAGTTTCTTAAATTAATTTTGTGTAATCTTTTTAATTTTTTTATTTAGTCATAGAGGTAAATTTATTTATTTATTTAGAAAGAGAGCCAAAAATAGAAGAAGAATGCAAACAATATAATTGTCTTTTTATTGTTAACATTAACGGTGTTAAGATTGCATTTTAGTCCAAAATTACATGAGGGTATATGATAGAGAGTAAATTGCTATCGAGTCATCCCACATAGAAGTAAAATGGATTTTGGCCATTCAAAGTTTTCATCTTTGGAGATCAAAGAAAAATGTTAAACTCCAAAAGATTTATTAAAATTTTTATTAAATATCTCATATGGGTATGAAATCGGTCCTACACGCATATAAGACCTTTAGTAGAAAGTTTGACTAAATTTTTATGGCCTCTAATATTATTCGGAGTCAAATAGGCATTAACCTTTCAATTTCATGTTTTCACTCTTGATTAATTCTTTGGTGGGGGATATTAAAATGTGCATAGGGTGTATATGGTAGGAGTTTTATAATTTTCTTTTTACATAATTTTATAAGACACATTACAAAATATTTGGTTTGTGTTTTAGAGATAAAAAGTACGAAAAATTGTTTGGTTTGGCTTTTTTGAAAAGCTGTTTTAGAAAATTATTTTGAGAGAGAGTTTTGAAAAAAGTGATTGATTTGATGTGTGTGAGAGAGAGATTTGTTTAGAAAACTTGTTTGGTTTACAAGTTTTGAGAAATTTTTTTGGAAAAATTTGTTTGGTTTAATTACTTTTAAAAACTTATTTGCAGAGAAAATTTCCCAAAAATTTTTCAGAAATACAAACCAAACGAACCCGAATCTTTGGAGATCAAAGAAAAATGTTAAACTCCAAAAGATTTATTAAAATTTTTATTAAATATCTCATATGGGTATGAAATCGGTCCCACACGCATATAAGACCTTTGGTAGAAAGTTTGATTAAATTTTTAAGGCCTCTAATATTATTCGGAGTCAAATAGGCATTAACCTTTCAATTTCATGTTTTCACTTTTGATTAATTCTTTGGTGGGGGATATTAAAATGTGCATAGGGTGTATATGGTACGAGTTTTATAATTTTCTTTTTACATAATTTTATAAGACACATTACAAAATATTGTAACTTTTTTCACAATAAAAATTATAACTTTTTTTACCATAAAATATAATAACAAAAATTACAAAAAATCATAATATATTACACCATAATTTCACGGAAAACGCTATTCATATGTAAAAGTCATTAAAAAAAAAAAATTTGCTTTTTTGGTAAATAAACGTAATCTTTGTAGTTGTTATGATTTGGAGTGAGCGGTTTACCTTGACTTCCATTATTATATATAAAAATTATCAACAATGATTTATACTATTAAAAAATATATCACTAATAGCACTAATACATTAGGAATGGCAAAAAATAAAAATAAAAAAATAAAAGACAAGGCATAGAAAGTGGGTGGGGCCTACTGCCACATTATTAGTACTCTTTTTAGTGATCTATTTTTAGTGCTCCCAAGCATTTTTCAAAAATTATATATGAATTTTTTTTTTTTTGCATATCTTTATTTTGAATTTACTATTCACAATTTTACTATAAGTGTTATAACACATATCACAAACCTGTATAATTTTTATCACAAAAATTATAATTCTTTCTTACAATCTACCTCTTTAGGTGCATGTTGTAGATTTCTCCTTCGTTGATACAGAGACTAGAAAGCACACAAAGAATAATGGTTACCTCCGGGCCGGAAAGAGTTTCATGAACCAACTAATTTGAACCAACACAAATGCTATGACTCTGTCTCTGAGCTCCAACCTTGCATTAGTTGAGTCATGAAATATTTCTCCACTTATCATCCACTAATTCCAGTCACCACCACACCAGCTATAAAACGGAGAAGAAACCTATGCAATGGAAAACAAACCCAAAAAAACAAAGATTGCTTTTAGAGAGAAGAAAAAAAACTAGTAGAAAGTCATGGCAACCATAAAGTCTCTTGTTTCTGTCAGGTCCCGAGCCACATTGATGTTGGTGCTGATCGTCGTGGTGGTGGAAACCCAGGTGGGTCGAATCCAGGCACAAACATGCTCGACCCAGCTCAGCAACCTTAACGTGTGTGCACCGTTTGTGCTACCGGGTGCGCCAAACGCCAACCCCAGCGCTTACTGCTGCAACGCACTCCAAGCAGTGGACCAGAACTGCCTTTGCAGCACTCTCAGGATTTCTGCTCGTCTTCCTTCTCAGTGCAACCTCCCTGCTATCACTTGCCCTAGTTAGTTTACTCTCTCTCTCTCTCTCTCTCCCTCTCTCTCTCTAACATGGGGCACGGGGACGAAACTGGGCTTTCATCACCAGATGAGCCAAAAGATTAATAAATTTTTTTCACTATATACACAAACACACATTTGTATATATAATTTGATATATATAAATTATACATATATACACAAAAATCAAACACCATGAAAATAATCTCTAATATGATGAAGTTTCTTATTTTTATTTTTATTTTTTTGTTGTTTTGTGCAAAAGAAAAAGAAATTGCAAGATGGAAAAATAATATATTTTAAAAAAAAAAATTATGTTTATATATAAATTATACATATATACGCAAAAATCAAACACCATGAAAATAATCTCTAATATGATGATGTTTCTTATTTTTATTTTTATTTTTTTGTTGTTTTGTGCAAAAGAAAAAGAAATTGCAAGATGGAAAAATAATATATTTTTAAAAAAAAAAATTATGTTAGGGGACATTTTATGTATAAAATAAGAAATATAATTTTTAAAGTATTGCGAGGAATAGTATTGTTCACACAAGTATGGTCACCTATAATCTTCTCCTAGTTCCGTCCTTGATGGCATACCTAGTCACATGGAATCCTCCGTTCTCATGTCTCAAAACACTCAGCCGTTAAAATGTATTGAACATTTTATGTCTCCAAATTTTTAAATGATATAATCCAATAATTTGTTAATTTGTTAGGAAATTGACATTATTGGTGTGATTGGAGCATAGAACACATGTGCCAAGTGCCCTAGTTGCCATTAATTTCAACAAACAAGTGTACATTACTTGCATAGACATTTTTCAAAAACACTTGTACAAAATTTATGTTTTCAAACAAAAACTTGAACAGAAGAGAGACATGTAATGGGCCATATCCCTTGTCACTCCATGTAAGTTTCCCGCATCCATATCTCTCTAATGTGCAAAGTCTTGTGCTAAACTTCTGTGCAAGTACAATTCCAATTTCCATCACATATTATCAATAAATTCTTGTAACAGTTGACTAAAATTTTTTATGCAGGTAACTGAGGTGGCCGTGTCACGGTGGATGAATAATGTCCAAGTTCTATCATTTCGTTTTTCGCTACTTTTTTTTTTAATTTTAAATTTGCACTTTTTTTTTTTTTTTTTTTTTTCTTTTTTTTTTTTTTTTTGTGTGTGTGGTTTTTAAAATGTATTCTGATCTGCAACAGAGCAATGTAGGTCAGATGAAGAGCTTAATATGATGAAATAAAAGAAGCGCTTTCTGATTACTTGGAATAAATTTAATAAATAACATTCTACAGTAAAAGTCCCATGATCAATCTCGTATACTGTTACGGTGTGGTCCATCTCAGTATGGAAAACAACTTGCTTTTATACTGTATTTGGTTTGAAGATTTGAAAAAGAATTTAAAAAAAAAAATTAAAAAATGAATGTAAAATGTAAATAAAATTACATTTCACTTAACTTCACACATATTTTCTCTTTGTTTTTCATGTCCATTCCAAAATTTTCCAACTAAATAAAGTATTATGAATATTAAAGTGGTCAAGACCACACACATATATAAAAAAATCGATCAACGATACTATTCATGACGGTCACCAAATCAACATATAGTTTGACTCCATTAAACAACTAAACAATCCATGTCATCTATACATGCTAACATTGACAAAAATAAATATTAAATTGGCAAAAATTATCACATGGATTGGAAAGATCATGTGATTATGTGTTCATTTAATGAGATTATATTATTTCTCTATTATTTTCTTATTTTAAAGTCATATGATTATTAAGCTCCTTATTATCACACAGTCAATGTAAAATTTTCGAGACACAGAATAATTATTGAAATCTCATTTTGTATGAAAATTAATTGTTGTGGAACATCTTTAAAGTTGAGTTACTAAAATGATATGCCAAACTCAGACTGTAGCATACCGTAATATTCAAAATATTAAAATTTGACACTGTTTCTTCAATTGAGGAAATGTTGTATCTTCTGTTTTTCCCAAAAATAAATAAATAAATAAAAATGGATTTATGAGCTCCATTAAAAGAGAGATAAAGATAACATTATTGTCAAAATTTGACAACCGGTCAAACCTAACGATATTAAAATGAACTGTAATGGAGCCCAAACTCATATTTTATACAAGCTGCATCGGAGATATTCTTAAGCAACTTTTTCAAATTTTCATCGAGGCAATAGTGGCCAATTTGGTGAACTTTATAGGTCACTTTAAAAAAACACACACACACATAATAAGCTTTAAAAAAATTAAGTCACTAAAAATCAGTAAAAAAAAGTCACATATATTTTAGCACAACAAATAGTACAAAAAATATATTTTCTATTTTTTTTAAGAAAAACTAAAAACTAATTTAGAAAAAAAAATAAATGAAAATACTCATCATTTTTATATGATTCTATCTTTTTGGAAGGATAATAATTTTTAAAATTTAAGTATAAATTAATCTGACCAAAAAAATATTAAAAAATAATTCAACTTGTGCTTTGGTGCAAGACCACTCTCTGTGTGGGCCAAAATCTAATTTGTACTTGACCACAATCCCAAGAATCAGATTCAAATAAGGTTAGGGTGTAAATCTGGTCTGGTCCAGGCAACTGAGGCTTTGACTCGATCTGGCCTATATCTGGCCTCGCGAGCTCTAACCAAAAATTCGGGCCGGCCTGAGCCGACCGACGGGCCAAAAAATTAGACCCAAGCTGTGAAGCCCCTGAAAAATGTATTCTCTTTAAAAACTCTAATGTTTGAATTATTTCTTTAAAACCCCTCAGTTCCTTGAATTATTTCGAATCTTGTCGGTTAACTTTTTTTATTATTTTTTTTTATCGAAATAAAAATATCCTAGCCGAATTAGGTTCCTTAGCCTAATTTAATTTAATTCTACATAAGTAAAATTCCAATACATGAATTTAATTCCAAGCCCTCACTTCTTTATTTAAATTCAAGAATTACCCCAAAACTAGTACATCTACTTTTATATTATAGGTACCATCAATCAAATTAAGATCTATATATATATATATATATATACTTTGGGAAATGTGTCCCTAGTACCTAAATTGAATAAAAAAATACCCCATCTCCCTTCCCAATGGCCGGCCACCCTAGGTAAATGTGAGGGGCCTATTTTCAAGAATTGCAATTATGATCCTAGCACCTAGTACCCCTAAACCTAGAGTTTTGTTCTCAATACTAGTTTCATTTCAACTAAAGACCAACTAGATATTGTCTAATCTCATGATTAAGTTCCCTAATCACTCCCTATTCCATTAGACTCTAAGTAAATCCTAACTTTTCCATCAAATTCCAACTAGTGGGCCTTTATATCTTTTTACACCAAAATTTGCCTATAAATACCACCACCCCCTAGCTTGGCAAACATAAACAACACACTCACACACACATTCGGCCTAGAGGAGAGAAAGGAGAACAAAAGAGAAGTCTTGAGAGGAAGAGGAAGGAAGAGGAGAGCACTCTTATTCAAACCTAGCAAGTAAGCCACAACACAACCTTCTCTTTCATTTTCGTTTTTCAAATATATGTTCTTAAGGGTTCTAAACATTGTTTTCGAATGTGTTATTGATGTTTTCCTTGTGTTAAAAATGGTAAGAGTTGAGCCATGATTCTACCTCTCTTATAGTTTCCCTCATTTCGGTACAAAACTATCTTTTTCATACCAATCTCTCAAACTTTCCAAAGGCACACCTTCAAGAAAATTTTCTGAGTTTAATATATGTTAGTTAGCATGTTTTCATCACAAAAGAAATGAAAATTTTCCTGTAGTAGATCTCTTTTCTCACAAATCTTCTTGTTTTGGGTATTATACCTTAGAATCTGTTTTTTGTAGCCAACTTTTAAAATTTCTAGAAAAATGTAGAAAATTATTCTGGACCTTTGTTTTATGTCAAAATCTTCTTTAAGGAGTTAGCTTTCAACTAAAATTGGTTCCATTGAAAAAAAGCGAGCGGTTTGCAAGAAAATAAAATATTTGTAACGGTCGACGAATCTAGACAGCGCTGGAGTGTTTTCTAAATAACTTAAAATCTAGAAAAGCTATCCCATTTCCGAAATATGTTCTGGAAACTAGATTAAATTCTCTACGAACCATAGGAAGGCCGAGTCCGGTGAAAAATCTAAAATAGTCCTTTCGTTCTAATCCTTATGTGGTATTGAATCTGGAAATTTTGTTGCGCGTGGGTGCTTTATGCTCTTGTGTTCATGAAAATGCTTATCAGCTTATGATCATATCTTGGCATGATATTGTACGTGTTATGGTTATGTTCTTTATCTTCTTCATCTTAATAATGCATGCTTATGTGGATATCATTATCTTGTTAAGTTGGTCTAAACTTGATTTAAAACATCTAACTCCACGGAAAACGTAATTGGGAAGGTATTGGGTTTTCGAGCTCTTGAGTAATGAAAAGATGATAATGTGTGATGTATGGATTGTTGGGATGCGTTCCTTATTTGGAAGTTAAAGTCTTGCGCAAGTGGTTTTCGGAACCCTTGAACAGAGTGGTTGTATTCGGACCTTAGGTGGTTTGGTGTGAGGAGGGATTTGGGCAAGGCCCATTATTACCGTCTCTTTTGAGGCCCTGCGGTTGGCGCTACGCGGTATATAACCATTGGTAGGCATCCGAGGTTAGTTCTGCAACAAAGCAACAAAAGTGGGGGCATACCGAATAATCCGTGTCCGATTCTTGTGGTTGGGAGGATGAAGTCTCTTTGGGGGATTTCTAGTTTGCTAACATCTAACTTGTAACCCTTTGTTTATTTAGTTGAGTATCATGCTTTACTACTTCATGTTATATTTGTAATTTTGTATTGGACTGGGAAAAAGAAACGGGGTGTTTGTGTGTTTACTGGGCATTCAAAACTCACGGCATATCATGCCAGGTGCCGAAGAGGAGCTTATAGCTGGAGACAACGAGCCTGAAACCTTCGAAGACTTTTGGCTATC